CTCCATATACATTCCATTATATATGGTCCTTTATATTAATAGGGTTGGCATATGATCCTGCACGCCCATTGCACTGGGCAAGAATTGTGTCTGACCAGTGATGAGGAAACTTTGCACCTTTTGTTGCAGCTTTGCACCAGAACCAAAACAAAAACAAAAATAAAATCCCAAAACCAACCACCTTCTTCCGGAATCTTGCGCTAGTTGTTCAATTGCATCAGCTGAAGGCTGTGGATTATTTTGTTTCTGTATCTATTTACTAACTACAAGGATCGGCACACTTTTGGTTTGTGGTATCTATATTTTTAAAAATCAGAGTCTCATGGTTCATAGACCAAATCTGGCCCACCTGGGGTCCCAATCCATCCCATGAGAGCAGGTGACCAGCTCTCATCCCTTGGCTCCCAATTATTTGGCAGTTTCCTGCCTTTTGCACAGTATTTTTCCATTTTAAAATGTTCCTAAGGGAGGAAGAGCTCTAAGGTAAAATAGGATGATATTTTGGCTCTAACCCCTTTATCTTCAACCCCACCCACTGTTGGAATCTGGCATCTAAGAACCTCTCCAAAATGGAATTTCACACCCATATGACAATTAAAGAATTGGCATTAGTATTAAACAAAAGCAAGCCATTGAGTGCAAGCTGTATTCTGAAATTGTTTGTAACACAAGTACTGAGCCCATAGGCCTTCAGAAGAACCTACTTCTGTTCCCTTTGATGTTTTTAATGTTTTTAGCAGTCCATTTTAGGACTTCCAAAATGCTTTTGTTGTTGTTGTAAAAGAATAGAATTAGAACAGTCTGTCCAACCTATTGTCTGAGTCTTCTTTCTCTGCTTCTTCCAGAAAAGGCATTTATGTAGCCCTCAGCCTGCCTCATTCATGGAATTGTACAGGGTGTCCAAATATTGTTGACTTGCAATCCTCACATGTTTCCCCTTCGATTTTCCTTATTTCTCCTTAGGGTGGAAACCCATTAAAGACACAATCCTATGCATATTTGAATAAGTGAAAGCCATTCCCCAGCCAACGTGGGAGATTTGTGTGCATAATAGAAATATATACATTTTCCATGCACATTTTTCATATGCGTGCACATTATTTCCCCAACATGTACTGATTTCTGACTGCAAACTGGGAAACCTTGCATTGAAATGGATGCTGCGTGTGTGTCTGTGGGGGGGATGAAAGTCCGTGTGGGATGGTGATGGCAAAAATGAGGCCAAATGTGGTGGGTAGTGTTGGGCCTGGACTCAGGAGATCTGGGTTCTAGTCTCCATTAGCCCACAAAGCTCACTGGGTGACTTAAGGCCAGTCAATTAATAGAAGTATCACTTCCAAATCATGAGAGGTAGTCGTTCCCCTGCATTCCTCACTAGTCAGACCTCACCTGGAATACTGTGTCCAGTTCTGGGCACCAAGATTTAAGGAAGATGCAGAAAAATTGGAAAGGCTCCAGAGGAGGGCAACAAAAATGATCCAGGGTTTGGAAACACTGTCCTGTGAGGAGAGACTGAGGGAACTGGGCATGCTCAGCCTTGAGAAAAGACTTGAAGGGAGACACGAAATCCTTCTAGAAGAACCTCAAAGGCTGTCACAAAGAGGAAGGTCAAGCTCTCTTCCTGCTGAGAGAGGAAGGGTGTAGGACAGGGGATAACCAAGTCAAGTTGCGACAACCCAGATTCAGGCTGGACATCAGGAAGAGCTTCCTCACTGTCAGAGCAGTACGTCAGTGGAACCAGCTGCCTGGAGAGGCGGTGGGCTCTCCCACACTAGAGGCATTCAAGGTGAAACTGGGCAGCCATCTGAGCGGGATGGTGTAACTTGTTGTCCTACAACAGCAGGGGGCTGGACTTGATGGCCTTCATGGCCCCTTCCAAATCTACTATTCTATGATTCTGTGATGGTCTCTTAGCCTGACCTACCTCACAGGAGTGATATGAGGATAAAAGGGAGGGGAGGAATATAATGTAAGCCACCTTGGGTTTTTGCCAGAAAAAGGCAGGCTATAAAATTAAAACTGCATATATGGGATGGCACCAGCAAGGTGATTGCTTGCTGTTTGGTGAGAGCCTGACATACCCAGGCTCACTTCCTTGTGAAATGACATCCTCCTGGTGATGCCGTGCTGGGCAAGAAGCTTGGCGGGCATGCCATATGCAGAGCCAGCTGAAGCCAGGGGTCAGACTAGATGGCCCGGGAGACCCCTTCTGACTCGCTCTGTCTCTGTGTCTCTGCTCCGTCTTCTAGCACCTGACACACACTTTGTGGGTGGCTTTCCCTCTCCTCTGTGTTTTTTGTTTTTTTTTTTTTTTTTTTGTTATTTCCTGGTTGAATTTTTACAGCCTCTCTCTCCTTCCTTATCTCTTATCTCTGGTAATCGTGGTAATTGGACCTGATACAGTCAATAACAGCACTGTCATTGAACTTGGGAAGTGATATGCAAAGACACTCATGCGGATGCTGATAGTTCTGCGCTGAGGTTGTGCAAGCTGCTCTGAATGCACCACGTGACGGTGGGAATGTGAGCTCCTTTCCCCATTCGGAAACCATTTCTACCCTTCAGGTGTTGCCTCCTTCAAAGCGCTACAACAACAAAACCCGTTGCTAGCCTGGCAACCAACCAGTGTCTAAGAAAGGACCCGCACATAGAGCACAAGATGAGCAGTCAGTGTTCAAATTACAAGTGGGATGGAGGAAGGCCGAACCCCTAACCTTGTGTGATGCCCCCCTTAGTACAAGAGGACCCCCTGTCATTTGGGAGCAGCCTGGTAATCTTGCCTTTATGTGGTTATGGGTTATATATTTTGGCTGAATTTAGGCAGTGTTGAGCACTGGAGCTTTGTTAAAATCCTTCTAATTGTCCATCCTTCCCTAATTTAAACATGCTCTCCAGGGATTCACTTTCCTCTAATGACTAGATGTAGCACAGCTGCTTGTGATTATGAAAGCTACTCTGTGTATGGTCTGAGGCACTCTCTGTATTTGACTTAGCTCACACATCTAAGATCTTGCACTAGAAGCAGATTCTGGACACTATCTGGGAGGTTCCAGGTTCACCTTGTAAGACCTGTTTGCAACCCCAGATCCCTTTTTCCAATGTATTGGATTTCACCTCATGTTCATTTTTCACTAGGGCTTAATCCTGCATCAGGGTTCTAGTCCTCAGGAAGACTAGGATGGCCAGGTGTCTTCTTTTACACTTCCCCGAAGGTCTGTCAGAAGACAGTCCTCTGTTTGCAAGCATCCTCTTTTTGAATGGCTGCCCAGGTCAAGTCCAATTAAAAGACCGTGGTCCTATTTGCATTTAGCAGAACCAATCATGGATCCTCAGATGGGGGTGTTTGTCCTTCCACGACTGAAATATGTCAGCTTTTCTAGATGAGGCTTTTAACACACTTTATTTCTATTCCAGGGTAACTATTCAGGGTAACTGTTTCTATTTCATGGTTACTATTAGTGGGGAATGATCAGGATGGCGGCCAGTGACAAGCGGGGTCCCCCAGGCCTCTGTCCTGGGACTGATTCTGTTCAATCTTTTCCTCCATGACCTGGAAGAGGGAGTGGTCAGTCTGCTTATCAGATTCGCAGATGATACTAAAATGGGGTGATGGCCACAACTGAGGAGCAGGTACTCCAGATCC